ATCACAGGGAATTTGTACCTATACATAATATATCTTGATTCTTATTTTTTTCCATTCCCCTACCCTTCCTTCAACCTCTCTTCCCTTTTCTCATTTTTTCCTTTCCTTTCCCCCTGCCTCCCCTCCCTAATTCACCTACCCATTTGAACATTTTCTTCCTATTTCACAATATTTAGTATATATTTTGGCCCTTGTTTACATTTTCAGTTTCTCACACCAGAGAAACAATGTGGTATTTACACATGTGCCCAATTTATTTCACTTAAGAGTATGGTCTCAAGGTGCATCCATTTAGCTATAAATGTCTCAAGTTTATTTTTCTTTATGGCAGAGTAATACTTCATTGTATTATAAAACCACATCTTCTCTATACACTCCTCAGTGGATGGGCATTTGGGCTCTTCCCAAGATCTAGCTATTGCAAACTGTGCCACTATAAACATGGGTGTGCATGTATCACTGAAGTATGATGTTCTGAATTCTTCTGGGAAGATACTAAGAAGATGTACAGATGGGTTGAATTAAACCTCTACTATTTTCTTAAGAGACAAAATCTCACTATGTTGCCCAGGCTGGTCTCACATAAGCCTCCTGCCTCAGCCTCTGAAGTAGCTTAGACTACGGGCACAGCTTATTCTTAATTTACATAAAATTAATAGAATAATACTTAATAGAATAGTGGAAACATTTTGAAAAAGAAGAGTAAGTAGGAAGAATCACTTATCCAGTTTTAAAGCTGGTATGGCCACATAATCCTATTGGCAGAGGGAAAGATACAGACCAAGGAAATGGTACAGGGAGCTCAGAAGAAACAGCTCCACATATGTAAAGGCAACTGATTAAGACAAAGGTTTAAGCACAATTCAACTAAAGAGGAGTAATTATTCAAAAACCAGTACTGGAATAACTGGATATCCACAGGCAAAAAAATGAACTTTAACCTAAACCTTACACCTTAGGGAACAATTAACCAAAATTGTATCATAGATTGTATACAATGTAAAATTATAAAAGTTTTACAAAAATAGAGAAATCTTTTTTTTTTGGTACCGGGGATTGAACTTGGGACCTTGCACTTGCGAGGCAGGCGCCACTGAGCTAAATCCCCGGCAAGAGAAATCTTTATAATCTGAGACTTGGTATAAGATCTTTGATATTATATCAAAACACAATCAATAGAAAATAACAATACCCTGTACTTCTTCAGAATGGAAATCCTGCTCTGTGATGAAAATATAAGCTACAGACTTGGGAGGAGGTATTTGTAAACCACTATTTTATAAAGGGACTGACTCATTTAGACTATAAGAAGAACTTTTGAGACTCAGTAGTAAAAAACATTCAATTAGAAAACAAGCAGACATGAAGATAGATTTCACTGAAGAGAACATATCCATAGCAAAAAGCACATTCAATGATGTTCCATCATCCCTAGCCGTTAGGGAAATGCAACTTAAGACCGTGATGAGGAATCTCTACACAGAGTTAAAAACAGTTTTTAATCACAACAATGCCACATGCTGGTGAGGATGTAGAGAGAGCAGGACTGGCAAACCTTTTAGAGCTTTCGATGATACAAACAGCCTGCTGCAGCACGTGTGCCATAGGTTTGACACCACTGTCCTAGAGTCCACACACATTGCCAGTAGGAATGCAAAGTGGTACAGGCACTTTGGAAAACAGTTTGACAGTTTCTTAAAACTAAACATAGGGCCAGGGATTTAGCTCAGTGGTTCCAACGCCTGCCTTGCAAGAGCAAGGTCCCGAGTTTGATCCCTGGTACCAAAAAAGCCCCCCAAACCAAAAAACAAAAGTAAACATAAACTGTCTGTATGACCTGGCGATTGCACTTTGGGCATCTGTCCCAGATAAATGAAAACTAGGCTCACACAAAAATTCCTACATGATTGCACAGGGCAGGCTTATTTATAATAGCCCAAAGCTGTAAACAACCAAAATGCCCTGCAGCTGGTGAATGGGTAAACAAACCATGGCTTTTATGTGCTTTCTAAATCGTACAAGGTATAGAGAAAATGGTAAGAAAATACTAATTTTTCTAACTTTTCTTCTCCTTTTGTCTATTCAAATCATGACCTTTATATACACTACCTCTATGAAATAAGTCAAACATTTATTGATAATGTGCGGTCTTTCAAAATGCTAGAAGAAAGGATTTTGAATGTTTTCACTGCAAGAAATGTCTGATGAGATATGTTTACTCTAAGTTGAATATTATGCAATGTTTACATGTGTCAAAACATCACATGGTACTCCAGAAACATGCACACTTTTTGTCAAATTATTCTAAAAAATAATGCATTTAGCATTCATTATATGGGGCTGTTTCATTATAAGTACATAAAATTGACTTCTATTGATCTAGAGTGGAGCTGGGAAAATATAGCAGCTCAGTGGTAGACTGCTTGCCTAGCATATACAAGGCCTTGGGTTCAATCCTCAGCACCACAAATTAACAAAAGCTGTTTAGAATAAATCTAAAAAATTTACAGACTGTAAGAAAAATATTTAATACCCAAAAGGTCTAATTTTATAAATATTCAACTTATTTAAAGCTAGATAATAAAACCAATCAAAGGTTTATAAGAATATGTGACAAAAATTGCCTAGAGATTAAAAAAATTTTTTTGCAAAAAAATATTTACTTGAAAGAGGTTACCGTTTTCACACTTTCCCTCCTCTAAAATACTATTTTTATAAGACTGTTTACACCTTACTCAAAGCAGCTCTGGGGCAGCCCCTGAGTGCTGCACAACCTGAGCAGTAAAGCAGACAGGAGGGCAGAGCAGCAGTTAGGCCATGAAAGACAGGCAGCATAAAACAGCTATTGCTAATCTGCATGAGATGCATTTACTCAATTAAGTAGATGGAAATGTTATTATGAACTCAGTATTCCAATGATGGTCTTTAAAATTAAGAAGGATAGGGGCAAATGAAATGCACACTAGGGGATTTAATGTATTAATTCTAATGTATACAATGCAGAACACTGTAATGAAGTTAACAAAATTAATTAAAAGATTCTTTGCATGTAACCATTAGAGACTACATTAAAAAATACATGACAGTTTCTGACATTGTTAACCGTGAATGTGACTGTTCTTGATCATTCTTAATGTTGATCCACCACCTTTTCCAAATATTCACTGATAAAAAAAAACATGAGATGAGAGACAACCATCTGATTACTCAGAGCCTAGTATGAGTGTTGCTTTTAATATGACTTTTTGTATGTATTTATTCCATTCTGAGTTTCAATAACTGGTAAGTTAGTGGTGAATTTTCAAATGTTTTAGAAGACTGTTACACATGTTTACTGAAGACAGAACTTTAAGGTATTTATTTAAAATTTCTTTTTTCACATAATCTTTTTTTTAACTAAACAATAAAATAAGAAACAAATTATTAAATTTGAGACTGTTAGTCAACTCTTAAGCAGAACAAAAATCTTTGAACAATTTTGGAAAAGTGGTTACAGACCTCAAAAGGAACTTTGACATTGTGATAAATACTTTTTGTTTAACCCCTATTTTCATAAGGGTAGTATATATACTTAATCCTTTACTAGTAAAACAATTCTAACACATATATCAAAATTATAACAGCTAAGTGATTTGTTACAAAAATTAGATAAAAATGATAAGCTGACTATGGAGAGAAATGTAGTATATTTACACTGCCTTTATAGGTAAACTTTGGATTAATTGGATGTTTTCCTCTTTCTTTACAAATAAGATTTTTTCTCTGACTAATCTGAAAGGCCTAAAAAACAGTTATGTACCAATTTTACTTAAAAATAACAATCATATGAAAATTACATTTAGAGTTTTATTTGCCCACTTCTACTTCCCAACACACATCTACCCAATCATAATACATAATCTTCTATCATTGTAACTCTTCCTTCTTCACAGAAGTCTGCTTTATACAATTATACAGTTGATCTGAACATTATTCTGTATTTGTAATTATTGAAACTTTTTGAATTAAACTCTGTGTCCCTTGAGTTAGAGTTCTATATGGACAGATGCTTGCCTGACATTTAATATTCGTGGTATTACATTAATTTAGTATCCAACCATTCATCCATTTACTGAAAACTTACTATGGGTGAGGACATTGCTGGAGGTTGTAGACACAAAGATGAAAAAGAAAGTCCCTGTTCAAAAGGTGCCCAGGCACACAAAGAATTGGGCTAGAAGGAAAAACAGCTCCCTAATGTAAGTATGCTCTGGCCCCTGGAACTTGGGGACACAGCAGTGAGCAGATAAAGACTCTGCCTCATGAAGCTTACATTCCTCTGGGAGGAAGCCAGATATAAACAACAGCAGTACATAAATTGTTAAGTAGTATTAAAGGCATTCAATAAAACAAGGCAGTGTAAAGAGACAGTGCATATGTGTAGGAAGGATGGAGATAAGGCAAAATTAGACAAAAGGTCCAGAACTTGGAAAATGTCTTCTCTAACAGTATGTTCAACTTTTCCTAAAATCAGGAAGAACTGTCTATAGTGCACTTTGGAAGGTTTCTTTTCAACATATTAATAAATTTATTCAAGGTTGTTTATATTATGTAATAATGTGCAAATGAAGCAAAACTTTCAAAACAAAAATCACTGATATTTTCAGGTTTACCAATTACTATAGCACTGTATAATATACAGCAGTTGGTTAGACTTGGCACTAAAAATCAATTATAATTTCAGTACTGGGATATAACAGGACTTGGCAGAGTTTGGATGGTCCTACACTTCCGGAGCTGCATGGCCCCGTGTCGATTTTATCCTTCCTCTGAGAATGGATTTTGGTGCTTCAGCAATAGAGTATTTTTTATTCATAATACATTAAATACAACTGACTTTTGGAAAGTGGCAAAGAAAATATAAAAAACTTAATTACTGCTAAACCTAAAGGAAAATCCAAATGTAGGTCACTGGTTTTATATGATATTGTTAACACAGAAAGACACTGTTTCAAACTCACTTTGAAGCGTTTCAAGTTCAGTTCTAGTCAGTGCATCTTCTTTTTCCTTTAATTTTGTTTCTTTATATTTAGCGTAAAACTGCCCAGCATCCTTAAAAAAGAAGTTATAAATAAATTAGCATAAAAATCAGTTTGTTTTGACAGTATTTTCCCTATAACTTCCTTTTATAGCAGTATATAAAATTTAGAAGTAGCCTTTCTTTTTGTTTTCAAATTTTATGATGAACAGAGGAAACTGAATAAACACTTCTGTCTGATTTTTCTCTCCTGGACAGCTAAGGCCAGAAACTGCACGAGTATAAATTCGGGTAAATTCTTTCTTCTCTTACATGAAAAGAAGGTCTCCACATCCTATTTTCTTCCATTCCTATTTTCTTAATAGCATACTATTGTGTATACAGACAGCAAGAAAACTCACTTGCTAAACTGAATTACTTGGTATAATAAATTATATTACTGTGACTAATAAAGTACTGGTACTGTTTTCACATTAGTTCTTTAACTGCAATAGGTTTTCAGAATTATTATCTGCAGATCTGATGATTACTGTATATGGCCCTGTAGCAGATGTGAGTGAAAGTTGTCACTCCCCCTTCCAACACTCCTACAGACCAGTGCCACACAGTCACCTCCGAGGCAAGGACACACAAGGCACGAAAACACACAGGCGTCAAGATACAGTGGCTAGCGCCGGGGATTTAGCTCAGTGGTTTTGCAGCCTGCTGCACAAGCTCAAGGACCCAAGTTCGATCCCCGGTACCAAAAAAAAAAAAAAAAAAAAAAGATACAGTGGCTAAAGTCTCAATGACTGGCACACAGGTAAGACTTTAGCAAGGGGTCAAAAAACCCAAACAAACCTGGCCTTCAATAAATCACAGACATGAAAACAAACAAGTTGATGCTCTAGGCATGTGGCGATCCTGACAATGACAAAAAGCAAGAGATCTTTTCCCACATTCCTCGATTCAAACTTCGTATTTTATATAGCGACACTGCTTCGCGGCCTTTGCATTTGCTTTGCCCTCTGGCTGCAGTATTTTGCTGCCCTCATCATTCTGACAAACTCTTTTCATCCCTGAAAGCCTTGTTCAGGCACTATCTCCTTTACCATCTCCAGCAGAATAACTCTCCTGCACACTACTTCTGTACTTACTCGCTTATGAGACTAGATCATGCCATATTCTAGAAGATAGGACATTTGAAATAAGGATCCGTGTATGCCCACAGCAAGTAACTGGCATAGAGCAGACACTCAGTAAGTGTTCACTGAGCTACACCAGATTGAAATATATGAGGACCATTTAAAGAAAGAAAGGAAAAGGCTTGATGACTGACTTAAGTGGAGTAAGAGAAGGGTATCAGGATAACTTTGGGGTAACTCCAAGATTGTAAGATTCCTAGAGAAGATAAGAAAGGGGCCCGTCTAACAAGGCTATTTCTGTAAAAATCAACCTCTGACATTACCCAGATCAGATGTAAACAGATGAACACTTAAACACTTCAATAGAATTCTCTTTTTCTCTATGACTGTATCCAAGTCAAAGCTTTCTTCTGAAGTCTATGACTAGTGGGATTATATCAGAACTCTTCCCCTGGACAACAAACTAGGGAACTAATAGGATATTCCTAACATTATTCAATCAATATAAAAAAGATATTTCTCTTATTCCTTCTATTCCCACTTTCATGTTCTTATCTCATTTCTACTAGACAGGTTTCCACAAGCCCTGGGCCAGCTAACCAATGCTGTGATTCGAAGGGTCTGGATGGTCATGCACCCAACTTGCTCACCTCCCACACCCATACACGGCTTATGTTTCAGCAGGGTCTGAGGTTAGGATTTTATGGCCCCTTAACATTCCCCACTCCACCCCCTTAAGTAAAACTCAGCCTTGGGGTATTATTTTTATAGTAAGCCATATCAGTTATTTATACCTTGGTGTGAATGAATGAATGAGCTTATTAGCTTCTTTCCACAGAGTAGGTTTTAATAGTAGGGAAGAAGAAAAGGCCAGGAAGGCATTGGCTCCTTGAGGGAGTAGGAAATGTGGCACCATGCAAAAAAAGAAGGGCACAGATTAGTTATTTACGAGAGATGAAAGAAGGTAGGTTGAAATCAATCATTGTAGTATAGTACAGTGAGATACAGTGATTAAGAGGCAGATTTTAGGGCCAGAACCGAGATTAAGATCCTAGCTCTGCCTTCTTACTACCTACATGACATTCAGCAAATTATTTCCTTGCTATATGGGTCAGTTCTTTCATCCATAAAGTGAGAATAATAAAAGAGCCTAATCATAGGACTGTTGTGAAAATTAAATGTTACTATTTGAGAAACACTTAGAATGATGTCTTATTAGGCCTTGTATGTGTTAGCTACCTTCATTATTACTTTATCATTTGACTAGAATCTTGTTCTTTGTCACAAAGTAAGGGTGAGTTTTAACATTTCATATTTCATCAAAATGCCTCCTGGGCAATCTTGTGTCTTCTTGAGTAGATAACTTCTCTTCAGCCACATCCTCCACATAAAGATGTGCTACTGGGTAACAGCAACCTCTTCCTAATGGTCCTGCCAAATGTGCTTCTCTACTAATGTTTCTTCTGCCTGCTACAGCACAAAATTAAACTGAAAGTCCTTCTTTGAAATACCCATTTGATCCAAAATCTCACTTATCTGAGGTTTGGAATACCCAGATACCTGAATCTATTCCAGCTAATCCAAGAGTTTTCACACTTTCTCTATCTCACTCACTGTTTGCTCAAGCCAAAGAATCCTATCTTCCTTTTGCTCCACTTTGAAGCATTCATTTACATGATCATCATGTTTTGTTTTGTTTTGTTTTTTTGGTACCAGAGATCGAACTCGGGACCTTGAGCTTGCAAGGCAGGTGCCGGAACCACTGAGCTAAATCCCCGACCCCTGATCATCATACTTTTTCTTTTCTCCTTACCTTACTTGGATGTTCAAATTATAATTACATCTGTCCATTCTAGGAAGGATTACTTTCCCAACAAAACTACAATCTCTATTCTACTGTATTAAATTACTTATTCCAACCATCCTTGCATAATAAATTATATTATCATGACTATACTTTAAGATGTACTGAAAACAGAAGACCTTAAAAGGACAGTGAGCAGAGCTGGGTGTGGGGGGCATGCCTGTGATCTCAGTGCTGTGAGTCTGAGGTCAGTCTGGACTACTTAGTGAGTTCACAACTAGCTTAAACTACATGGCAAGGCCCTGACTCAAAAACCAAAACCAAAAAACCCCACAAAAAACAAAAAACAAATAATAAAAGAAAAATGATCAAAAAGTTAGGCAGCTTGACACTATCTTATAAGGGACTGGTGATGGGATGACTAGGGATAATCTGATAACTACTAGAAAACATTTGAAGAATCATTATGGGAACTATGTATAGTTCCAGAGATTGAAGTTTTGATTTAGGATAAATATAAAGAAGTGTTTTCTAATACTTAAAATTAGCTGAGAATAAACTAAATTGATTCTAGGAACAATAGTCAATATGAGATTTCAATGTATATTCTTCAATGGTGGCTATTCTTCAATGTATATTGTTTGTTTGTTTGTTTACTTATTTGGTACCGGGGATTGAACTAGGGGCCTTGCACTTGCGAAGTAGGCACCAGAACCACTGAGCTAAATCCCCAGCCCTCTTCAGTGTATACTGTAAAGGAGATTCATGTGTCTGAAATAAGAGGAGAGCTAGATATGAATAAGCAGGAGATCTAGAGAGGGAAAGAGGGTAGGAAAGGAGAAAGGAGGAGAGGAAGGGGAAGGAAGTAAAGAGGATTAAGATGTGATATGCACATGTACCAACCATAAATGTACTGATTTTGTATTGCAAACACTTACTGAAAGGTATAGTTTCTAAAGATAAAAAGTAATAATAAAATAGAAAAGATTTAAAGAAATGATATATGAGATACAAGTTAACCCTAAAGAATATGTAAAATAACTTACTAATATTAAACAAAATATAGACTATGGACTGTATATTTCATGAAAACAGGAAATTTTCCTTCCTTTTTTCAGGGCCTAGAAGACTACATGATACACAGTAAGCACTTGATAAATACTTGCTGAAGAGAAAATGGTCCTTGCCCAACATTCTGTTCCTCTCTTCACCATTCTGATGGCCTCTTAAGATTAGGTAGGGTCACAGAACTCGTTCTCCATGGGCTGCAGAAGAAAGCAGAACATGCCACTTCCCAGCCAACTCAAAGAGAAAGCTCATGCAAATCCCCAGGTCTATTGCTACAGTGAGCAAGGAGGACATGGACTTTAGAGCTCCTTAACAGCTAGCTAGAGCAGAATGTCCTGTTTCTACCCGGTGATGGACACAAATTAAGCCACTGGAACTCCAGGATGGTCTGTACTTTACCATAACCTATCAGTCTAGTGTGACTGCAGTTTGAATATGCCTTATACAAAATTCTTGGGACCAGAAGTGCTCCGGATTTCTGATATTATTCCCAGTTTTGGAATATCTGCATCTACATGAGATATCTTGAGGATGGGGTGCAAATCTAAACACAAAATTATTTTATGTTTCATATATACCTTATAAACATAGCCTTAAGGTAGTTTTTAATTTTGTGCGTGAAACAGTTTGTCCCCCCTGAACCATTGGATTTGTGGTGTCATGTCAGCACTTGGATATTGGATATTTTTGGATATTGGAGCATTTCAGATTTCAGATTTTTTTGTATTAGCGATGCTTAACATGAGATAAAATATAAGTGCTATATTAAAGTTAGTACAGAGAACATATAATCAGCAAATTTTTTGTACCAGGATTGAACTCAGGACTTTGCACTTGCGAGGCAGGTGTGGTGCCACTGAGCTAAATCCCCAGCTCCAATGAGCGTTTTTTAGTTGGCTTGATAAAGGCTTCATAATGATGATGACAATTTAGCTAAATCCTGAAGCTGTAATATTTCCACAGGTTAGTGGGCTATGCCATGGAGAAAACCCACATATAACTCTTTCTTTTAACATTCTGACATAGTTCGTTTAAGTGATAAAGTAACATGCTGAGCTGGCATGGTTTGTCATGTTTT